CTAAAAAAAAAAAAAAATTATTTTCCCATAACCCATCTAAAAAAAAGAACTATACTAGTACTTACCCTGACCCTAACTTTTAATAGAGGATGGTTAAAGAAATTCATGTTCTATACGTCTTGCACAGTCTAGATTTTTTTTAAAAATAAAAAATCGAAATAAGTTATTGTCGTGGCTGATGCTGAAATTTGGGGTCTCAATTTGAAACTATAAACCTTGCCAAAATCTATATATACTCTTTAAATATCAAATATAGCCCTAAATCCCAACCTAGCCATAAAAAAAAATCATACAAAACACACCCCAAAAAGATTTTAAAATTTCATAATAAAATAGATTCAAATTTCAGCATCAGCCATTTTAGCATCAGCCGCGACAGTAATTTTCCTATAGCCCTATCTAAAAAAAAGAACTATGCTAGTACTCACTATGACCCTAAACTTTAAAAGGGATGTTTGAAGAAATTCATGATTTATATGCTTTGCACGGTCTAGATTTTTTTTTAAAAAAAAATTGAAATATTATTTTTCTATAGCCCCATCTATAAAGAAGAGCTATGCTAGTACTCGCCCTAACCCTAAACTTTAAAGTGGGACGTTTGAAGAAATTCACAATTTAAACGCTTTGCACAGTCTAGATTTTTTTTTTAAAAAAAAATTGAAATATTATTTTCCTATAGCCCCATCTATAAAGAAGAGCTATGCTAGTACTTGCCCTAACTCTAACTTATAAAAAGAGATGTTTGAAAAATTCAAATTCTATATGTCTTGCCAATCTAAATTTAAAAAAAATTGAAATAAAGTTATTACGTATAACCTAATATGAAAATGAACTATAATAGCACTTACCTAAACCTAATATGAAATTCTATATAGTTTGCACGATCTAGATTTAAAAAAAATAAAAAATAAAAATAAGCTATTTTTCTACAACCCTTCTATTATAAAAAAAAAAAAAACTATGCCGTTACTCACCCAATCGAAATTTTTATTAGGACGCTTGGAGAAATTTAATTTATATGGCTTTCATGATTTAAATTCAAAAATAAGTTATTCTCTGCATATCCTTAATATGAAAAAGAGCTATGTAATATTTACCCTAATCTAACCTTAAAGTAGAACGCTTGGAGAAGTTTAAAAAAATAAATAAATAAATAAATAAGAAATAAGTTATTTATTTTACTTATAACATGCCTTAACATGAAAATGAGATGATACTTAACCTACTTAATTCTAATCTTTAAAAGAAATCCTATGCTTATTAACTTTAGTGCTAGTTAAATTAAAATTCTATGCTAAAATAAATTTCTTGAGTAACATTAAATTGCTATGTAATTTGAGCATTCTCAAGTAGCTCTCTTAATGAATTTGATAAAAAATCTAACCAAACAGATATTTTTATCGAATTCATTAAGAGGTGCTTAAAAATCCTGTAGTCATACTTCATAAGTTATTATTAATCTAAGTTTTATTTGAGCATTAATTTGCTATATCAATTTGAGATTATTACATATTATACAAGAATAAATATGTGCTATATCAACTATTTTTTGTTAGGGCAATTTTGCTTATTATGTTTCTTGCTTTTACAAACACTGCACTGACGAGAAGCACAGGACGAAGTACCTGTACGTTTCTTTGGTTTTTCAATTGTTGATTTTATACACTTTTTGGAGGGTGCCCTTTCCCAATATATTTAAATGGATCCTGAACATCTAGTTGTATCGTTCCAATATCTTGATCATTCTCTGTATCTTGATCACTCGCTGTATCTTGATCACTCTCTATATCTTGATTATTTTCTGCAATTTGATCATCATTCAGTTCCTGTTCTATAGTTCGTTTGTCGTATTGTGCTTTCTCATGAGTGTGTATCCATTTCTTAAATATTTCCATTAAAATCTTTGAATCATTTAAATCATCATAATTAACTACTTCTACACATTTACAGGCAAGTCCAAGCAATGTTCCTTTAATTGATTGTTTGCGGCCAATCACTTTCGCTGCAGTTTGTACAAGAGGTTCAATAAGCATAATATTCCATAAATCAGCAACATCTGGAAAAGAAGGTAAGGATGGTGTTAAACTGTTTTTTTCTAATGATTTTTTTCTAACAAATAGCTCATCAGCAACCACCGCGTCTATAAATTCATCTTTGTACCAACGTCTTGGAATAAGAAAAATATGAAAATAGGCCTTTTCAGACTGTAAAAGAATACAAAACCAATGACGGCAAACTACTCTACTATCAAATAATAAAATGCACGTGCATAAATGAAATCCATTTTTTAATAGCACTACATTTTGTCCAACATGTGAATTATGTTCGATTGATTGAATATTTCAAACTTCAGCAACTAAGGAATAATCAACCCCTTCAAGAAGTTCGTCAAACTGTATCTGATGGAAATCATACTCAAATTCAATCGCCCTATTATCAACAACCTCTAATGTTAAATTATATAGATCCTCAAAACTAATCCTTTTGCTATGATATATTACTGCCTCATTCATTTGATCAGTATGTAACTGTAAAATTTTAGGCATCACTTACTTCTGCAGAATATTATACATATTGGGAAAAAGTCATCCAGGAACACTTGGTGTCATATATAATACTATCTTTTCACGCCAAGCTGCAAACCAACCAGCAAATTGTTCTTCTGCAACGTGTGATTCAATTCAGTTAAACAGGACATGAAGTTGAGTTCTTTCATTTACAGTCCATTTGATTACACCGTTTATTGATTCAAATCGTTGGGTAGACATTATCTCTGCTTTAAAAACCTGACCTGTAAATGCTTTTGCCCAGGTTGTTTTACGTGGATCAAGCTGTCTAAGTAGGTTTTTAGTTAATTCTAGAAAATTAATCATAAGTTGTTTTCAGTATTTCTCAAATATTTCTTTACATAAAACATTTTGGGCATGATAAAATGCTTTGATAAAGTCTGCATAACGATCACCAAGAAGCTTTGCAAGCTGCTTTTCAATATTACGCCCAATGTGCCAAACACAATAGAGAGGTAGGTATCAGGGTATATTTCAGAAACAACACTTTCAAGGCCTAGATCTGCATCAATCATAAAAGCTCCGGGCTGAACTCCTGTAGCTTCAATTGTTTGCTGTAGAACCCATCTATAACTTTTACTTGTCTCATTGGATAATATTGTCTGTGCAACAATTCGTGATTTGAAATTATTATCTACAACAGCAAAAATGCTTAATGGCAGTTTATAGATGTTGGTCGCTG